TACGATATATTTAAGATTTTAACTGTTAACAGTTTAAATAATAAATAATAAAAATATAAATATATATATATATATATATATATATATATATATATATATATATATATATATATATATATATATATATATATATATATATATATAAATATATACATATATATACAGTAAAATCCCGTTAAGTTGGACTCTCAATGAACAGATAAACAGTATGCCTTTATTTTTAAAAAGTATAAAGAGGATGTGTGATAAACAATTTAATACTTTATTATAAAGAACGAGAGATCTCTCTAAAGGTAAATGATATCAGAAAGATTAAAAAGAGAAGAAATATATGTGAAACAGCGGGATGTGAACCTGGGTCTCCGCGGCCAAATGTCTTAACTGAATGAGCTATACGTTCATTCAACTAAGTAAATAGTATTATTTATTTATTATATAATTAAGAAACTATATAATTAAGAAACTATATAAAACAGAATTTACAGAAAATGATACGTATGCAAATAGGATTCTATATATCAGGAAAATGTATAGTGATGTAAACCTTTAGTTGCTTATAATTAATATCTGGACTCGAAAACTAGTTACTTTTAATGGAACACAATAGGCTATAGAAGCCTCAGGGAAATTATATTCAGAAATGATTATATTAGACTCAGCGTTAGCTAGAAATTATTACAAAGTGTTTAGGACAGATATCTAGTACAAAAAGCACAAGATTTAAAGCAAAATGATTTATATTATTTGAAAAAGTTGTTTTACGTACATTTCATCATAATTTAAGTAGAACTTATTAAAGCAAGGGAAACGTGTAGAATTAAGCACAACGAACTCAATCTTAAAAGAATAACTAACAGAAGAGAGGTTGTCACTATTATGAAGGTGACGAAAGATCTGTAATATAGAACATGGAGGTCAAAAAATGCTATCTTAAGTAAAAAGAGTTTGATGAACAAAAGTTACAATGGCTGCGGGATGCGAACCCGGATCTCTGCGGCAAATTATCACGCATCTAACTGATTGAACTATAAGATCTTATACTTAAATTTATATCTTATTAAAATTGAAAAACAATATTTTCTAAGATCTATACTTCAAAAAGCGTATTCAAACAGGACTCTACATACCTTTAAAATCTGCTAGAACTTTAGTAACGTGCACACTTTTAGAAAATATTGAAATAGGTTTATTTTATCAGAAATATGCTTAAGCTAAAGCATATTTTTGAGCCTCTTTTTACTATTTGCTTAAGCATATTCGAACCTGTTTCAAAAATTTCATATGCTTTAAAAAAAAACACATGTATATTTCTACCCATCATTCTTATTTTTAATATACGTAATGAATTCAAAAAACATCGTTATATATATTTATTATGACACGTTTCGTAAGTTTATTTCCGTTAAGAATTCTTTCGTATGTTGTGATCCGAAATACTTTCGTTTCGAAAGAAATTTTATTTTTTATCAATATTTCTAAAAATAAAACCATAAAAATGTAATAAGTTGTTATACTGAAAATAAAAATTCGTTATAAACATTTTGGGATTTAAAGATGTTAATTTTTAAAATTAAAATCAGTCTGGCAAACAAATTTTCTTTATAGACTTCAAAACGTCGTTTGGCGAAAATGTTTGTTTTGCAAGTGCGACTTCCGAAACCGCTACTTTCCTATGTTGCAAAATAGTTTTGTTTCGTATGTCAACTTGCGAAATGCTAAATTTCGGAAGTGGCTTTTGCGAAATAAACATCGGCGATTTTAAATGTTTTGTAACATTCGGTACGAAAAAATGTAATTCCGTGTTCTCAATCTCCTTACGAAAGAATGTTGTTTTTCCGGAATTGCACGAAATCCTCCGGTTAACAACCCTAAATTATTCACAATCTTTCTAGCAAAATTTTAAGATTAAAAATTGATTTGAAATTCTTAATAAAAATATCTGAAAGCTCTCAAAAGATATTTACATGATATATAGACAATTAATCCAATTTATGAATTATGCATAATTAAAAACAAAAAAACTATATTTTTTGTATACTGAATGATGTTTCTAATCAACAATATTTTTCAAAGTAGCATCATAGTTTAAGCAGCCGTGGCGGTGTCGCGTTAAATAAGTAGATCGTTAAATAAGTAGACAGTCAGTTCTGCGCAAGCGTACCGCATCGGCAAATACGGTGTAAAGCTTCCGTTAGGTAAGTTAAATCTATCGTTAAATAAGTAGCCTTGTTAACGTTAAACTTAAAAAACAAAAATAATAATATTTTTAAATTTTTTAAAACTGTATAATTAAATTACCAGTCTATAATTACTCAGTTGAAGATGTTTAGCAGTATGTCGCTGGTGGTATAATAAATTATTATAATAAAAAATGTCAACTTTGTGGTAGGTGTATATAAAAGTTAAACTTTTATATAATTTATGTTTAAGAGTTTATTATTATTGTGTATATACACAATAAAAATCCCAAAACAACTGTAGTTTTTGAGATGCTGAGACATTAACTTCAGAAACATACAATATTATAAAATACGTATTTTATATTATTGTATGTTTCTGAAGTTAGTTTTATATTATGTCTCAGCATCTCTAAACCTAGAGTTGTTTTGGGACTTCCATTTTAAAATTGAAAAATAAGTCAATGACTTATTTTTCAATTTTGCCTAGAACTATTAGTTAATTTTGTTGTATATTTAAGTGTTGCAATTAAATATTACTAAAAATATTTATTAAAAACAGCCTAAGATTAAATTAACTGTAAATTTATTATGGATTTGAACCTAATTTTCATAAAATGACCCTAGGTACAGTCCAAAAAAAGCTTATTGCTCTAGGGCCACTACTTTTTAAACCCTTGTTAGCCATTCCAGACAATTTTTTTATAATTAAAATATTCAAATATAATTGCTGTCATTGTATAGAGCTTGGTTTGACTTAAAAAATGAGGGGTCATTATGCCTTTGAAGTTAAGCGGATCAAAAGTTATTGACCTTTTTGTAGTGAAAAAACGGGTGATTTTTTGACAAAAGGTATAGTAGCTTAAGGGCTTAAGTATAAAGTAGCTTAAAAGGCTTAAGTATGGAAAATTTACTGCGACATGGCACCGAAAATGAGAGTATTATTGACATTTCAATAACTTTTGAACCGATGATACATTTGACTTAAAATTTTCCATAGTGACCAATTAACTATAAGAAAATAAAATTCCTAATTTTTTTTTTTGAAATCTGTCAGGATTGACCAGAAATCATCTATTTTACAGACCATAATTTTTACTAATTTATACATTTTTAGGGTCATACTGACTTTTTAATAACTTTTGAATCGTTATTACATTTGAATTAAAATTTTCTATAGTGATCCAACAAATATATAAGAAAATAAAAAACCAATTTTTTTTTTTTTTTAAATCTGTCAGGATCTACCAGGATCACCTATTTTACAGACTGAGAGTTTTTACTCATTTCTATATTTTTGGGGTCATACTGACTTTTGAATAACTTTTGAATGGTTATTACTTTTGACTTGAAATTTTTCATAGTGATCAAAAAACTATAAGAAAACAAAAACCCAAAATTTTATTTTAAAAAATTTGTCGCGATTGTCCTGAATCATTTATTTTACAGCTGAAGGGTTTTATATTATTTTCTTAGTTTTGGAGAAAAAAATTTAGGGTGATATTATAATTATACCATGTGAATATGCATAAAAGAATCATAGAATCCAAAAAATAAAACATTTGAAAAATATTGCGTAATTTACAGACCGGTTAGTGAAATAGTCATATAAATTACTTTTCGGTCAGTAAATTGCTGAAAATGGGCTGTTTAAACGAATTAAACATAAAAACTTTAAATAACTTGTAACTTTTTTAAAATTTTTGATATTTTTGAACCGTTATTACATTTGACTTGAAATTTTAAATAGTGATCCAGTTTTTATTAAATCTGTCAGGATTATCCAGAATTGTTTATTTTACAGACTGAAGGGTTTCTATTTATTTAACTGTGTTATGATGAAAAAAATTATGGTTGCACTATGCAAATATGCATAAAGGAATCATGGAATCCAAAAAATACATCATTTAAAAACTATTGCATAATTTTTAGACCTGTCAGTAAAATTATTGCATAAATTACAGACCGGTCATTAAATTACAGAAAAAGGGATGCACTAACCAATTGGGCATATCGACCTTAAATATGTTTGATATATTTAATATTAGTTATATATAATATATATTGATATTAGTTATTACATTTGACTTGAAATTTTAAATAGTGATCCAGTTTTTATTGAATCTGTTGGGATCATACAGAAACGTCTATTTTACAGACTGAAGTGTTTTTAAATATATAATAATTTAATGATAAACAAAAATTAGGGTTACAATATGGAAATATGCATAAAAGAATCATGGAATCTGAAAAATATATCATTTTGAAACTATAGCACAATGTACAGACCGGTCAGTAAATTACACAGGTATACGGTTGCACAGACCAATTAGGCAATATAACTTTTAATATATTTGATATTTTCCAATTGTTATTAAATTTTACTTGAAAATTTTGATATAGATACATAACCATAAGAAAATTAAATGCCATAATTTTTTTTGCATCTGTCAAATTTATCCAGAATTGTTAATTTTACAGACAGAAGTGTTTTTATTTATTTACCTAGTCTTTTAAAAATAAATTTAGATTTAAATCTTTTAGAAAAAAAAGAAAAAAATTCAGGTTATATTATAAAAACTCCATGCTATATGCATAAAGGATCGTGGAATCCAATTAATTCATCTGTTTAAAACTATTGCTTAATTTACAAACCGATTAGTAAATCACTGCGTAAGGGCATTGAAATAAATCATTCAGAATTACCTATTTAACAGACAGAAGATTCTTTAATAAAACTAAAATTTAAATTTGAATGAAAATAGCTTACAGCAACAGAACTTCCTGAAATTTTGAGTACTTACAACAGTAATAGTAGGTGTAACAGCAGAACTCTACCTAAAATTATAATAAAATTATTATTAAAAACAATACATCTAAATACATACAATAATACATCAAATAACATTAGATACACAATAATTTAAAAAAAAAATTTGTTAATTCATTTTAAAAATTAAAAATTAAAAATTTATAAATTAACAATTAAAACTAAATAAATATAAAATAAGAAACTTATTTTTTGAGATAGGTGAACTATTGACAACACCTAAGATGAAAAAATGAAAACAAAATTAAAACAAAAAATATTGTTAGTCTAAAATTTATCTCTTGGCTTTCAGTGAATAATTAGAAGTAGTTTCAGTAACGAAACAACCTAATAATCATTTTTAACGATAGACACCAGCGAGAAGGTAAACCAAGTTGTCTATCAACACAAAACATCACAACAATAACATCACAATCACAAAACACACAGACCCTGTGGCACTAAACGCTGCAAAAAACGCTGGGGCAGATATTCTTATGATGCCCTTTCTCTTTTAGACAAGGAGAAAAAATGCATTGTAAACCTCCAACCATTATCACATCGTTGTAATGGTGCTTCTCTTTCTCTTTTCTACAAATATGGGCACTGCTCTAAAGAGCTAGCGTCGCTTGTTTATCTACTAAAATTCATTCTCTTGTGACTGCTTCTAAGTGCTCCAAAAACTCTTATTCTTCTATTTTTTCCTCGAACATCAGTTCTTTGGAATTCGCTGCCTTTATAATTTGCAATCTTTTAAGACATCTGCCAATTGTTATCTTACTCTACAAACTTCATCTTTTCTCTTCCAGTAACTTTCAACTCCTACAATGATTGCTTGCAGCCTAGTTGGAACAACTCACAAATATACATACAATGACTTACTGTTGTTTCGACGCTGTGCCACAAGACCAACAGAGCACAAACATAAATAAAAAAAAACAAAAACTTGATCAAAGTGACTAATCTGCATTACCAAATGAAATTATAGCCATTCCACAGTTCCAACAGAAGAGTAAGATACATATAACGACTTACAGGTAGATAAACACAAAGATACACATAATGACTAATGGCTACATAAATACAAACATACATATAATGACTTACGGGTGGGTCAGCACCGCTCCAGAGGTCCAACAGAACACAAACATACACATAATGACTGATAGGTACATAAACACAAACATATAGTGACTTATGGGTGTGTAAACACCGCTCCAGAGGTCTGACAGAACACAAACATACGCATAATGACAAACGGATACATATGCACAAACATACATATAGTGACTTACGGGTGCGTCAACACCGCTCCAGAGATCCAACAGAACACAAACATACACATAATGAGTAACAGGTACATAAACACAAACATACATATAGTGACTTACATGTGCGTGAACACCACTTCAGAGGTCCAACAGAACACAAACATATACATAATGACTAACAGATACATAAACACAAACATGCATTTAGTGACTAACAAGTGAGTAAAAACAAACATGCAAATAATTGCAGACACACCTACAAAAACATACATGTAAACACAAAAAAATGTAAACACAAGGGTACATATATTGACAGGTATGCCAGCACAAAAATAGAAAGCATGACTTACCGGTATGTCACCATGACGGCAGATGTCCAATAGAAAACAAATATGCATATAAAGAATTGTCGGTGCGCCAACACCGCTCCAGATGACCAAACAGAACACAAACAAGAACACATTAAGTTGAATGACAATAAAAATAATAATAACAATAATATTATTAATAAGAAGAATAATAACAAACATAAATACAATAAATTAAATCCCCATTGTGTCAAAAATGATATTAACTGCATTTTTGTTTTTTACAAATTCGCCCTCCACATAACCATCAGCTTTTCCCTCTACCACAACACATTTCATCCTCCACTTTTTGACCAACTCATTGTCATACTTATCTTCATATCCATCATACAGTATCTGAAACTCACACTCTTCATCAAATTCATTGTCGTCTAGAACACTTACCACGAGCCCTGAATACCATACATCCTTGCCATCATTATTTACCATTTTATGTTTTATTCTTTTTCCTAAAAACATTGGAACCCGTCCCTTTGATGTGCCTGTTCTTATTTTACTTCCAGTTTCCATAATTAACCTAGCGTCACCCTCTAATCTGACCTTTTTTTTTAATGTTAACAACATTTCTTGTCTTTCATTAATCTGTCTGATAACTGAACATTTTATTGCAGTTGCGCGTAGTTCAGGAACGTCTTTTAAAAATTTAAAAATTGATATTAGATTGGTTTTTAATTTATCAATACCAAATTTTTTTGGAACATTGCCATTTTGCCTTTTCTCCTAATTGTAACCACTTTTATGGAAAATTTTGCTGTAACTTTTTTTCGAAATTTAATTTGTCTTTGCAACTTCATTACAATTTCATTTTCAGTTCCTAAAATGGGCCTTGACAAGGGCCTTGTCTTGTTGGAATTTTATTAGTATAATTCAATATACTTATACAAAGTAATTAGTATAGAGAAATGATTGAATCAGTTTCGACATTTTTATACAAACTTCCCCTAGACGTTGTTGGACCTTTTGCTTTAATAAATCTTGGAAAAAAAGGTAATATTAAAATTACTGATTGTTAAAGTAAATATACTGAAAAAATAACAAATTATGTAACTACTTTATTTTATTGATTTTTGATACTCTTCAAAAAAATCTAAAATTTTAGATTATTTGATATAGTCTGCTTATTTTCATCAATCCAATCAACAAGAAAAAGGTTCAGAGTTTAAACTGGTAATGGTATTACCAGTTAACAAAATGCTTTGAAATTAACAAAGTGCTTTGAAAAAAGCTATTTGTTAATGATAGTATCATTGTAAAAATGGGCTGTTAAAGTTCAAATGTTTCTTAAGTTTTCTTTAAAGTTTTTCAATACAGTCTAAAGACAAGGCTTTGAATATTTTAAGAGACTCATCTGGCTGGCCAGATGACACCTTGATTGATATAGCACAAAGTTTGTTTTTTATATCAGTTTTCTAAAATATTTAGATTTCCAAGTTTAAAATATCTGAGTTTTTTTGCATTTTTACTTGTTTTAATTCAAGTGGTTTTTCAGAAAGTTATATTGGGTGTTTCTAAGTAATGTGTCCTGATGTTGTTTCACATTGAAAGGGTGTTCAGTTTTATGATTCACTCTTTAATAGTTTAAGTAAAAATGATGCGCCATTGTCAGTGCATAGAGTTGTACATAAAAATGATTGTGATTTTTTTTAAAAAAGAAATGCGACGGTCGCCATCTTGGGAGGCCAATTTTGGCTTCAACTTTTTTCGGAAAAAACAATAGAGTCCGCTATCCAATTATATTTTGAGATCAGTGGTCTGGGTTAACAAATAATGCCTTGATTGTTCAATTTTCTACTTATTTAACGATCTTCTTATTTAACGTGACAGCGGAGTGGTTAGGCCACTTTATAAGTAAGAGATCCTGAGTTCGAAGCGAGCTCTGGGCATAATTTGCGCTATCGCACAGTGGGCCAGAGGTAAGCAAAACCCTTCAAAACCAACTTTTATATTAGTGTAATTTTTTTTTTGTAAATGTAATCTAGAGATCCCCAACAATTTTTTCCTTACTGTGATTTTTGAACTCAATATATCAATTTTACTACAAAAATGGCAATGTTTTATTTTTTAAATATTGGTTAAAATGTAACAAATCATATAAAAATGAAATATAAGGGCAACAAGACAATTGTAAACATTTTAATTTCTTAAATGCTTATATTAGTTCATTGACATCATATATTGGAATAAGAACAAGAAATATTTAAAAAAATTATTTTTTATGCTTACTTTTTTCAAAGTGTTTTTCAATAAAACCCCATAAAATGCGCAAAATTTTTTTAAACACCTACCTTTACAGAAGCAAAAAAACACAAGCTGCAAATGGGACCTACTTTAAATTAGACTCTCATATATAAATAAAAATTTACTACCCATTTTTCTGAGCTCAGCTAAGCACAGTAGGTGCTAGGCTTTTTATTATAAGTGATACGCAATCGTAGATTTTGCTTTAAAACTGAAGAGGACGCAAAGAACAGTTTTAATCTTTTAAATCTTGTCAAAATCTTTTTTAAATAGCGCTTTTAATGTTATTGTGAAAAGTTATGGAACAATTTATGAATGAGGAGGGAACAAATAAAGATTTGGAGGCTTGGAACAAATAAACCTCAAAAGTCATACCTCTCTCACCCCAAGCGTGAGGGTAACAATTATGACCATATAAAATTTGAAACCTTTTTAAATTTAGGGGGGTTTAAACTTTATACGATCATAATTTTTGAGTACAAAAAATATTTTATCAACTTGCTGCTCTCACATTTGAGGTGAGGAAGGAATGAAATTTTGGGGTTTATTTGTTCTAAGATTCCAATCATTGCTTTTTTTTGCAAAACATCATTGTTTTACATAAGTATAAACATACAAATGTTTAGAGTTTGCTCACCAAAAAAACACCAAAAAATGCTGGATCCGCCACTGAAGAGAATACTTATTATTTGTATATGTATCACCACTGAACTTATCATATTATTTGTATATGTATCACCACTGAACTTAGTATATTATTTGTATATGTATCACCACTGAACTTATTATTTGTATATGTATCGCCACTGAACTTATTATTTGTATATGTATCGCCACTCAACTTATTATTTGTATATGTATCTACAAAAAGTTTTTATTTATGTAAAAAGAAGAGTTTAATTAAAGAGATAAAGTCAGCTTGTTTGCGAATAAAAGTTTTTCAATTTCTTTTTGTATTTAAAGCAAGAAATCTACATCAATTAGTACTTTCAGTTTTAATGTTGTCTTAATAACTTTTTTTAAATGCCATTTTCATCTAGAATATTGTACTTTAAATGAGTCAAATGTGTTTTGTAAAATGGAAAAACAGTAATTTATTTATGAAAAATACTCATTTCATACACCCTAATATTATTATTTTAGACTAAAGCAACAGCGAGCATTAAACAATGAAATTTTCCAGACCTCAAACAAATTATGATCTTTCGATAAAAATGCTTTGCAGCTTCGTTACTAAGATGTCCAGAATAAGGATGAATCAAGGAAAAGTCAAAGACTCAATTAACCTGAGGAGACCAATGGGCTCTTAATGTACTAATGTATGATGTATGCCATCATTTAGATTCTTATATTATAATAAAATATGTTAATAATGTTCAACTTTATTAAACATTATTTGTTTATATTCACAGTATCAAAGAAATTAAGTACATAAAATAAATAAAAACCACAAAATTATGTTAGCAACACATGACCACATCTACCAGTACAATAATAACCACTCCTGGAGACCAAATATGTTTAGATTTAATTTTCCTGATATCAATTACCTATATTTAGACATACAACATGTCCCATCTAGTTGAAAAACATAGAGAAATCTCAGGACCACCTTTGACCACTATTAAAATGACCATTTAAGCGGTCATGACTACTTCTAAATACCACATATGCCCAGATTTGAATTCCCTGACAGCATTTACCTATATTTAGATATACAACATGTTCCATCTAATTTAAAAATCATCAAGAAACCTCAGACCACCTTTGGCTACCCCTACAGTAACCACTTGTGTGTTCATAACCATTCCAAAATTAAAATAGAACCCAAAATTAAAATCCTTGACCCCAAAAACCTATAAGATCATGTATCATATGTCTATATTTAATTGATAAATAGTTTTATCATTTTTAGACAATTCTGGCCCACTGTGCATTGGTAAAGAAGGGGGCGTGAATTTCCTGGTTCAATGTTAAATTGGCAATGCTCTGTGTGCACCACTGATAAGCATTTAACCAGGAAGGCTGTTACGTCTTTTTGAGGCACCAAAAAAAATTAAAAAAAAATTAAAAAAAGAAAAAGTCATTTACAAAAATATTCATTAGACTTTAATTATTAATTCTTAAAGCAACTTTACTTTTGGAATCGTAATGTCTCAATACTAGTTTTCATTTTATTTATTAATAAGTGTTTTTATAAAGTAATGATAACTCTAATATTTGAGATTAATGAATTGTTACCGAAAAAAAGGGAAATCATCCTCAAAAAAAAAAGAGTTACATGACTTTATTGAACCAGATGGTAGTACCTAACTAATGCGCAGCTTTAAGCAAAAAAAAAAAAAAAAAAAAAATTTTGATTTTGTCTAAATTTTGATTTTGTCTAAAATCAGCTATAGTTACGAAATCTTTTTGAATGCACCCAGCATCAATTGCGATATTTAAATAAAAGTTTTTAATACTTATTAATAATTTCGTTTTAATATTAAAGTTTTATTTATCAGTGTGTCTATTCGCAGGTTTTTTACGTATGAATTGACTATATTTAAAAACCTATTCGCATCTTAAATAAAAAAAGAGAAAAATCTTCCAAAGTAATAAAAATTGAAAAAGCAAAGATAGTTTATCTTTAATTTATAAATTTATTAGTAGTCTAGCAGTGGAGTGAACATTTTTAGACTGACTATTCACGGATAGACGCGGTTTAAAGTGACTACCTATCTTTCCTATTCTATACTAAATATCTATGTATCTATCTATCAATCTATTAATCTATCTGTTTATCTATCTATTTATTTATCTATCTATCTATCTGTCTATATGTCTATCTATCTATTTATCTGTTTAGCTTTCTATCAATCAATCAATCAATCAATCAATCAATCAATCAATCAATCAATCTATCTATCTATCTATCTATCTATCTATCTATCTATCTGTCTATCTATCTATCTATCTATCTATCTATCTATCTAACTATCTATCTATCTATCTATCTATCTATCTATCTAACATCAGCAAGGGTTTTGGCTCGGCATGCAACCTTTTAATTAAAAAAAAGTACGTTTCAATTTTTTTTTATTTATTGACTTTTTTTTTTTTTTTATAAAAAAAAAAAAAAAACAATAAATAAAATGAAGATTTAAAGTTAAATTTATATTAACTTATAATATTATTATATTATACTATCAATAATACTTTATGATAATAATTTATTATATTATATTGAAATATAATATATTTCATTATAAAATATACTTTGTAAATTTTCATTATAAAATTGTAAATTTTCATTATAAAAATATTTAACTTTAAATTCTTTTTTCTGACGTGCAAATTGACTATAATAAGATATAGTCTATTCGGATATGCGTGCGAATATACTCACCCTTTATTTATATTCCATGTTGTCTTAGAAACACATTAATAGACATAAGTATGATACACTGTTAATGTTTAAACTATACGTTTTGGTTTGCTATTCTTATACACCAATAGCTTTTGCTAACGTTTACCGGTCGCCGAAAACAGGAGAAATTTTGCAGAGAACAATTTTGGTATAAGGAGATAAAAATATTTAGATCCAAGTTTGATTTTAAAATTTACATAAAAAAAACGTCTGTTTTTTTTATATACTGATTTTAATTTAACAGTAATAAAATATTAATAAATCTTATTTTGAATTGAAAACAGTGAATACCTAGTGTTTTTAAAATAGCTACTAAATTAAAGCAAATTATGCAAAACGTTTTTTGTAAAATAATTATTACGAAAAACTTTTTTTCTTTACGTAATACGCTTAATAAATGTTTCATAAGATTAATTAATGTTACCAATTCTCAGTGAAAAAGTAGATTCTTTAAATAAAAAAGTTGGTTCATTATGAAGCAACATAAACGCTCAAGATCTAATTTTTTGTTTCTTTTACTTCTTTATTTAAAAAGTTCAACAGCTCGTAAGTTATTATTTTTAAATTTAGGTTATTAAGGTTATTTTTAACCTCTCTGACACTTGCAATTAAAGTTAGAAGTAAGATAATTAAAGATACTATTGGAGAAGTGACAAAATTTAACAATTTTCTTAATAGGGGCAAAATTATCAAGCAAAGTTTTTTCACTACCCGACAAGAAATTTTAATGTGGGTCATATATGGCATTTCCATGCTAACCATATGCTTACCACTCTCCTTAATGGAATGGCGTTGATGCGTTCCATATGTGGCTATAATGTTTATCCCACTAAAACTACACTAAATAAGAACGAACGCCACACTTTTATTTGTGCGTGAAAGTTTCATGTGGCCCACGTGTGGGAAGCACATGTTAGCCATATATTTACCACTCTTCTTTATGGGATAGCGTTGATGCGTCCCATATGTTGCTACAATATTTATCCCACTAAATAAGAACGTACGCCACGCTTTATTTGTGGGTGAAAGTTTTATGTGGCTCACGTGTATGAAGCACATGTTAGCCATATATTTACACCTCTCCTTTAAGGGATGGCGTTGGTACATTTCATATGGGGCTTCCCACTAAATAAGAGCTAACGCCACACTTCGATTGCATGAAGAAGTCATATTTGTTCCTTCACTCTCTTACCTATCGAATTATTATATCCTATCAGTTTGCCCTAGAATAACCAAAAAAGCACTATAAAAACAAAGTTATTATAGGAAGACTAAAAAAAACGAATATACTAAATACACAATTATAATAAATTGCAATACTTTGACGTTAATTAATACTGATATTTGTTAATGAACTAAATTAAAAATATAGGTTGATGTTTTAAAAACATATTCGCTTGTGGGTTTATAAAATCTTGAAAGCGTACAAACAATTTTAAACTTTAAAGATCATTCAATTTATTTAAGAACGGGATTTTAAAGTAACTTTATTAAACTTGTAAGAATGAACTACGGTAATTAATTATCAAAAAACTTTATGTGCTAAATCATAAACTTTATGTATTAAACCGTAAAACTATAATATGCAAAATATCAAAGTGGCAATTCCCGATATTATCTTGTTCATGTTGCAACTTATTTGGCTTTAGATAAATACTTAACGAACAAAAACTCTGATAGCTCCTATATATTTTTTTAATTTAAAACCAAGCATTTTTTTGGGGGGTATTTTTTCCTTAGGGATTTTTTTTTCGGGGGAATTTTCCTCTGGGGATTATTTCGGGGGGATTTTTTCCTGGTAGGTCTTTTCTTAAAGCCTATTTTTTTAATTCAAAAAATTTATTTAATGCAGAAAATATAATACGCCTCAATTAAAAAGTGCGTTTCTTTGTTTAAAAATAAGTATATTTTTAGTGACGCATTACTATACACTTTATTTGTGGTTGCGGAAGTTTGCGCTTTTAAAATATAACGTTGTTTAAGCATAACTATAAATTTGTATTTGTTAAGTATAACTCTGATTTACAAATTTTATGGAAAGTTTATTTAGAACAACAGTTCTCTAATATATTCATTACAAAACCGCTCAAACTTTTTTTTTTTTTTTTTTTTTTACAAAATTATAAACGTTTACAGATTTTTATAATATTATAACAATAAGTAGAAGTCTTAACACACCTAAGTTTTTGTTTTTTATTTTATATATTTACACTTTTTCTTTTATATATATTTATTTTTATCGCTTAAACATACTTACAACTGTTATAAATTGGAAATTATCAAAACATGATATCATGGAATATTCTAGAGTTTACAATGCATTGCGATAGAATTATTACAATTGGTTAAAATTATTTATAATATATTTTTGCACTTATAATCCACACAAAAGCACTATGAACACATGTGGGCCATATATACCTTTCTTGTCGGGTAATTATAAATTAATAAATGATTTTAAAACATTAATTTTACTACGTTTTACTAACTTCAGAAATTAACAAGAAGGTCCTGACAACATAAGTTGGAATGTTGTAACAGACTCTTATGACGTTATGAAAGAAATTTTTTACATTATCTTTATAGCATTCGTTTAACAAGAGTTTTTCCCAGACTTTTTGAAAATAGAAAAAGTAATTCCTATCTCTCAGACAAGAGATCCAACTAATATAAAGAATTACCAACTTCTCGCAGTTACAGTTTTTTCTAAAATTTTAAAAAGAATAATGTATAACAATAACAAAGTGTACACATAACTAATTAAATCCTTAATAATAATCAGCTTGGTTTAAAAAAAACAACTCAAACAAACTTGTTCTTCTTCAATTAACATGTTTCATTAATAAATCTAAATACCTGAAATTTACATTTAGTGTTTTCACTGGTTTGTCAAAAGCTTTTGACGCGGTCAATCATAACTATTTTCTCAAAAAAATTGAATTCTATTCCGGCATTGCAAGTAAAACTCTAAGTTGGTTCAAAAGTTATTTCTTTAACCAAAATCAATTTGTTTTAACAAAGATTCTAAATCTCAAAATTTAATTTAAAAACTATAGTTTTTGCAGACGACACAAACTTGTTTCAGTCACAAAAGATACAAACAAACTTTTTATGAAAATATGCACAGAAAACTTGAAAAAATGTAATTTTGTTTTTTAAAAAATAAACAAAATGGATATTTTTTTTATCCAAACTATAAAAAACAGATACAACATGTAGGTATGCCTGATCTCATAATCGAATAACTCTAACAAATTTGCAAAAAGAACTGAAATTATACACAAATCTAGAGGTATTTTAAACAAAAATCAGTTTACAAAACAAGATTTGAGGCTAATGGGTTGAAGATCCTTCCCAAATCAGTCATTAGGGCGTCAAATTCTCAAAAATATTTACACTTGGTTTTACTTATTAAAAAAAAAAAGTCACTTAATCAGCATCAAAAGTAGTTTGATTTCACAGTTTCTGCAAAAAAATTGTTGTTTGTTTAATTATGCACCAAAGAAATATAACAAATTAAAAGTAATTCTGTAATGCAAAAATAAAACTGAAAAAATAAACTTTTCTAAACTACTTACCAATAGCAACATATGCAATCAACATTTTTCCTATTCCAATTTTTTGTCCTCTCCTGGCATAGTTTAATTTTACAGCTAGGCCATTTTAAAAAACTATTCTTAGTAAATAACATATACAATCTCCTTCGTCTTTAACTCCAATTTGTGACAAATAATTGACCTGCAAAAATACACAACCTGGCAATAATTAAAGTAACTTTTGTTTAGACTTAATTAGAATTAATATAAAATGTCATTTACAAAAAATCTTCAAAGAGTATTTTATTTAAAGTATATAAATTGTACTGAGATATCATACAAAATGCATAAACAGATCATAAAAGAATATTTACCATTTACTTAAGTATTTTCTTGTCTTTTTTTTCGAGAGTACTTGAATTCTTTACTGCTTTTAATGGTATGGACACTCTTTCAGGGAATACAATAATTAGCATGCCTTTGTTACTCAAATTTTTATAACTGAATTTGATGTGTTTTGTAGTTCACCAAGTTGCACTTTGATGCTTGCCCATTGTGCCAATAATACCAGCATATCTTTCAAGGATACAATTTTATATAATTAACAATAAAGTTAATTATATTATTATGAAACTATACAACTTATTACATATTATATTTAGAATTTATGAAAGTAAATACAACAATCACTAAAAAAACAGATAAAATTAAAGACATAGGGGCAAATTTTTAATAATAAAAATATATACTTGCTAATGGATTCATAATATTTTTATGAATTACGAAATTTGCAGGTGTGTATTCAATTTCTGGCACTGACACAAAACAATTCTCGTTAAAGTTTAAGATACAGATTGCACTGTAAAACAAAAAAATTCATATTAAAACAATGTTTCTCCAACAGGGTTCGTAGCCAACTATTTATATAAAATTCAATGACTTTTTTGAAAAATCAGATGAATTTCCCTGACCATTTTTAATAATGGTTTTTACAAAATGTTCAAAATTACTATCTACTGTAATGGAAATGCTAAGATTGTACATGCTTTGAATGACAAAACTCATAAAACTTAGCTATTAGTTAAGTAGGATATTAGTATAAAGCTTACTATACATGTTAGTATGGATCTTATTATTAGCGATGACTAAGAATGAACACAAAAAACATAGCTTAATTGAGTATTTTGAAAATGTTACGTCACAAAATTAAAATTTTACAAGAGAATGAAAAACATTTCTCCCGTAAAAAAATTTATTTTTAGTTTATTTAAAAATTGTTTCTTTCTAAAAAAAATCTAAAAAAAATCTTCATTTTATCCAAAAAAATCTTTATTTCATCTTATAATTTTATCTTTTCCTAAAAAATTTTCTTTTTCACTTTTAAAAAAAGTGTGACTTATCTCACTTTTAAAGAAAGTGTGCTTTCAAAATACAGCGTTCAATTGTGAAACAAGTAGCTTTTTAACTAGAATTACTGATTTTTTCATGACAATCTAAAGAAATCATTCCCTGACTTTTCCAGGTTTTCCACAACTTTAGCCAATATTAACAAATTTTCCAGATTTTCAAGGTACAGTACGGACCTTGTCCAATGTTTGTAAATAATTTTTTTTACATATTTTAGTTCTGAATTTTATTAATAAAATTTTTAAAAATAATATCATCTATAAAAATATTGTTTTACCATTGTCTATTAGTTAAATTTAAATAAACAGTTTTTCACAACTAAATATAATTTCCGTGGTCAGTATTCGAGACCAAGCCTGTGGTATAAGCTTTGATATGTTGATTGTTATACAATAAAATGTTAATTAACACTCTGACCTTTTGACCATAATATATAAAAAATTTTTTTAAATTGTAAAAGTTAAAGCTATGAAAAAAGATTTTCAATCATCAGACATAAAGACTTTTATATAAAAACTTACCATTTAATAAATTTTGTTCATTCAACTTCTCAGAGCAAATATTGAACTTCTGTAAAGAGTTTGGAGTCACAGGTAAATCCCAAAGTTTGATAATATTTTTTGTTTTATTATAAGAAATTGAGGATCAATTATCTACACCAAGATATACAAAATTTTTTGTCTCTTAAATCTTTATTTTGGCTGGTCATTTTCGCTGTCTTCCTTTTGCTGTCTTCCTGCCTCCACAGCAAAAGTTTAGCCTTCTCCTAAATTCAATCTTGTTTTGCTTTAAAAATCTATAAATCAAATCATTAATAATTAAGTTATAACTAAAGTTAATGTATATAAGTTAAAGTTAATGTATAAGATTAAAGTTGTTAACTGTTGTACGCACACTAAATATGTAAAATATTCAGAGATATTAAATTAAAAAATAATAAAACCAAGAATAATGTCCCTCTGCCTCAGAAAGATGGAATATATAAAGGGTTGTTTCGATTTAAATCATGACTTAAATCAGACAAATGAAAATAATGACTTAAATTGAATTTTTTTATTTTAATTGTTTTTAATGATTATTTATTGATTTAATCTCATAATTCAATTAATTATTATAGACTAGTCATTGGTCTTAAAATAAAATGTCGGACAAGATTAGAAAGCTCTACATAAGTAGAATATAAATTCTAGTAACATTACTTTTTGTATAGTTTTAATATATTAGTAGATATATTAAAACTGTACAAATATAAGTTTCACAATCAAACACAGAAAAAATCAAACAAAAGAGACATACTTAAAATGTAAAATATCAGCTTTTAATAACTTCAATGCCACATATGTATTATTGATACCTTTAATAATATATCTTATAATAGCTATATAATCAAAACTATTATAAATAAATTATGAAAAAAAAAAAAAAAAATTTTTACTGTGACATTTCAAATTTTTGATTTATTTAATAAAGAAGATATTTAAAATGTCTTCCTTATTAAATAAATCGAACATTTGAAATGCCAATACAGCAATAAAAATAAAAAAATAACTTTAAGATCTAACACAAAAATAATTTAATTATTGCTTTTATTATTACATTAATAATTTAGATTGTAGTAAAAAATGTTTTAAGCATATTGTTTAAATTAAACAATATAAACAATATTAAACAAATATTTGTTTACATTTAATTAAATGTAAACAAATATTTCATTATTAAAAAAAAAACAAAACATTAAGTCACGAGAATCTCTTGAAGTTTATTTCTTATAAGAAACCTTTTAAGATTGTTAGAAGATTAATAAATATACCTTCTTTTTTTATTTTTATAATTTAAAAAAATTGGAAAGATAATCAAGGGTTGAATTAACGCATCGCGATTTGCGATATCTGTTAAATTATCTGGTCTTCAAAGTTTCAGTTTATGGAAAACCACGAAATTTACGGAATAGGCAAATAAACTTTAATTTGTTAGTGAAAATGTTATGAAAAACAAAACAATAAATTTATTACTACAAAAGTAATAACACTACAGTGTTGTTACTTTTATAACACTTTTTAGTTACATTTATAGTTTATTATTTGATCAAACAACACATAATCAAGATATTATAAATAAAAATGATTTAGTTAAGTAATTCCAAACTTTAATTAAAGTAGTAATCCATCTAAAAAAATACAATGGATATTTAAACAATGTTAAAAACCTCAGCAACTTTTACGCATATATATTTTTATAAACAGTTTAGCATTTTTAAACATCTTACTAACGGTCCGGAAAAAACGCGCGTTTACTTTAAAATCAACCAATAAAAACACTGGTAATTTACTTCTTAGGAGAAATCTATATTAAAAGGGGAGAGGGGAGGCTAAAAACTTAAATTTTGTTTTATATTTTTAATCAATTAAATCATAATAAAAGTAAAGACAAAAAAATATATTTCGAAATATACTTCTTTATAACTAAAATTTATTAAATTGAACACCTCTGTTTTTAGTTTTATGTAAATGTGAGTACTACTCTGAGTGGCGAAACTGCGGGGGAAGGGGGGGGGGGCTTTGCATAACAGACAAAAAGTGTCCTGATTTTAAACTAATTTTAGATTGCATGGGCGATATGGGGCTGATTTTGAAAATCGTGTTATTTGTTTATAACAAGTCACTTGTTATAAACAAAATGCTATATCTCAAAACAAAAATTCAGTGAAAATTGGCCAATTAAAAAATATATATATTGGTAACCGATAAATAATAAAACTTTCATTGTAAATCCTCCCGCTTTTTTTTATTATTTCCTCCTCCCATTTTATACATCCTGACTAAAATTCCCACCCCCACCTACTTTTGTATTAAGCACATTAGAGTAGTCAGTAACAAACCCCCTCCCTCCGCACAATTTTTAAAATGAGCCCCATATCGCCCATGCAACCTAAAATTAGTTTAAAAATAGGACACTTTTTGTCTGCTAACCCCATATACTAACCCCATATACTAATACATATACTAATCCGCAACTACATTCGCCGAATATTGGCTGCGGTATAAAGCAAAATATTAAGCCCAACCTACATTGGCCAAATGTTGGCCCAACGTAGTACGATAATTGCATAAAACCGATTTGTAGAATTGCAATATTACGCCGAAAAAAAAAACATTGGTTAAATGTTGGCCCAATATAGTACGATATTTGCAAAAAACCGATTTGCAGAATTGAAAATAATAAGCCGAAAAAAAACATTGTCCAAAAATGTTGGCCCAACGGAATAAACTTGTCAATGTTAAAACTTACGTTGCGTTAAAACAAACGATTTATAAAAAAAAAAATATTTTAGCATGTATAAATTTGTTAATTTCCTTGATTTAAACCATTGATGTATATAATTTATTGTAAGTTTCAAAAAATTGTTTTCTTTAACAAGTCAAGTAGTCATTCATTACACTCTTTAAAGACTCTATTTTTTAACAATTTCATTCAATGCAACTCCAAAATCTAAGGCTCATTCTTTATATAGAAATCATTTTGTTTGGTTTTAAACTTAAATAGTTCTAAACATTTTATAAACTTCATAATGGTTCCAAAAAGATACCTTAATTGAAATTAGCATGATTCTTTTCTATTATGGTTTTTAGGATACTTGAAGCAAGACGGCAAGTATCCTAACTATGTACTTGTTAATCCCAATCCATATGTTACATTAATTAAATTTTTTACTACTTGAACATTCACACAAAGGTGAACAATGCCTGACTACAAAATTCCACAACATTTGAAGCACAGCTTTTCATTATTATCTTAATTTAACTCAGAAGTAACACTAAAAGCATCTTTTAATATTTCTGAAACATCTGAAGTTCTTTCTTTTTATCTAAACAAATAAATATATCTAAACAAAAACTACCAGCATGTTTTTTAGAAGATCACATGATCTTATCATGAAGCCCAATACAATCTATATCAAAACATAAAAATACAATATTCTAATACTCCTTGCAACTTGTATAACAAAGAAAATAAAGTATAAATTAAAACAACTAATGTACAAATATATATATATATATATATATATATATATATATATATATATATATATATATATATATATATATATATACATATATATATATATATATATATATATATATATATATATATATATATATATATATATATATATATATATATATATATATATATAAATAAATATATATATATATATATATATTTATATATATATATACATTCTATTATACATTATTCTTTCTATCTTTCTAAACTATTATCCTATTTCAGTAGAACTAAGTTAGGATGATAACTTGTTACGTTTTTAGAACCACCTGTTTTAAGGATTGGAGTTATTTTTGCTATTTTCAAACAATCGGAATAAATCCTTAACTAATAGGTACTTTTATATCTTTTAAATGGATCATCTAGAAATTTTTAAATTATAATAGAAATTTTTTTAAAATTGTATCTTTTAAAAAAACTTCTAGAAATTTCTAAATAATATTTTTTATCACATCAAAAGATTCAATTATAATATTCCCATTTATGCCATCAAACTCCCAGTTGCCTAATTTCTTTTCAATGCTTTATATGCTTTTTTAAATTCGCTAAGTATTATTTTGTTAATAAAATAAATTCATTAAGGGAGTATTTATCTATACAAGGAATTTGATTTGATAAATTTTGTCCTATTTTCAAAAAAAACTTGTTGAATTCGGCGATAAAATCATTTGAATTGTTAACTAATTTATTTCAATTTTCATTGCTGCAAACATATTGTGTTTGCCTTATGTTTACTAGTAACTTCTTTTATTATTTGCTAAACTAGCTTCGAATTATATTTGTGTTTCATAGGCAAGTCCGAATAGTGAAGTTTTTAGGCTTTTTTGCGAATTTTTTTAAAGATTTATACAGTCTGTGTCGGCATATTCAGGCTTTTCTGATTTAGTTTTTAAATACATAACATAGATTTTTTGCTTCATTCGTTAGGATTTTTTTTCCATTAGTTATTCAAGTACAAGATAAGTCTTTAGGATTAAGGCATTAAGGATTATATCACACAATAGAAAATTTGAATTGTAGATAAAAGTTAAAAAAAAAAAAGAGTTATAGATGAGGTTTATATCGTTTTTGAAATTTTTGCTCCTAATTTTCCGCTCTTAATTTAAAAATTACTTTATGAATAAATTTAAGTTAGTGTTGTTATAAAAAAATATTTTAATAGTTACTTTTTCGTGCATACGGGATGTTTTGAGGTTAGCGCTT